TGCAGTTTCTCTTCCAATGCCATTTCTTCTTACAGTGAAAACATTCAGCATCATATACTAGCTACAAGATCAAATCTACAGAAAGCTCTTTACCAAGCTTGTACCCCAACTTCTCATGTTCTTCAGTAAGAACGGTCATATGATTGACAAGGGGTCCAACTGGAGAGTTTTCAATGTCCAATTATGTATCAATCATCTTCTTAAGATATTCAATGATTGCAGTTGGATCCATATTCTGATGTTTCCTCTGGAGTTCAGAACTCATAGAAGCGAGAATGATTTGTTTAATAGCAAGGCATTCTTCCAAGTATTTATGATAAACCTTGGTGCCTTGAACATCATTCTCTGGTGGGATTATCTTTGCAGGCATATCGATCACATCAATAAGCTTTTCATGCATGAGAACAATTCTCAAATTTCTATACCAGTCATCAAAGTTTGGTCCTACCAATTTGTTGGTCTCAAGTATTTCACACAGTGATATAACAGACATACTGAGAAATCTAAAATATAGAAAAGAAAAGGCAATAATATAAGAACATATTTGCATATATCATAAAGACATGAACTTTTATCTAAATGATATTTCCACTAATTATTTTAAACTATTTACCTCATTATAGTTTACGAAATCTTTATTTCTGTAAGTGGAGTAAAGGAATCCTTTAACAATATGTATGAGCCCCTTGGATGTCAAGTCGTTTCTCTCATATATTTTAAAGGTAGGTACTCTTACCAATTGTATCCCTATACAACTTCCTTAAATAGCTCTATGTCAAATAGTCCCCTGGTAGTCAGGTCGATCCTATTGGCATAGTTGAGTTCAACCATCATGATAGCAAATAACTTATTAAATTTTATACTCCCCCGGGTAGTCTAGGCGTCTAGTGTAAAATTGAATAATTCTTTCAATCCATACGTCTAATGCAAATAAAAAATTTTAATATATTCTCGAACTATAAGTCTCCTGGTAGTCAGGCCGCTCCTTATAAACAAGAAATAAGTAAAATTATTTACCTTGATGGATAGCTCTTATAATAAAATATCTTATATTTTATTATTTAAGAACTCAAATTTTAGTAAGAGGGAATTGTTAATAAAATAATTTTTAATAACATGAAGATCAAATCTTTTATAGCATGTGAATTTAGTTCAAGTTGTCTACATGCTTAGTCCTAAATTGATTTACATCACATGTAATAAATAATTAAAAATTATGTAATGAACAAGCACGTGACATAAAAATAAAATTCAACATTCTTCTAACATGTTTAATCTATATATCATATATATCACAAAAAAATAATTCATGCCAGAATATCATTATTAATTAACAACTCATGAACTAATAACAATTAAAAATAACAATAGAATCATGTAACTGATCCCATTGTATCTAATACAGAATTTTAAATTCAAGTTATGAACTATCTCAATAGTTCAAACGATTTAACTATTGCACAAGACACATGTATTATGGTTTGAACTCTTCAAATATAATATAAAAATATTTCGTAAATAAATTTTAGACACAATAAACCACTGCTCTGATACCACTGAAGGATTGTGTATAGGTGTTCGTAACACGCAGCGGAAGACAATAACAATCCTAGGCAGATCTTTTCGTGTTTAAAATTTATTTACATGTCAAAGATCGGATCTAAGACGTACCTGGTGAAGAGAGTCTCGTTTCAAATTTCTTCGATAGTGCGAAGACTCTATGCGTATCCACACCGAGACCGATCCTTACTATCAACTCTTTGATCAACGAAACCCGCGAACAAATTGAACGGAAAACTTATGATGAAATTTTTCTCAAAAATCTCAACTCAAATTAGAAGAACAAGAAACACTTTTCTTGTAATTGTATTTTCTCTCTTGGCTTTGTATTGCACTCTCACTTTCACAAAGTATTTTTCTTCTCAAGAATTAATAATCGAAGTCGCACGACAAGAACTGTTCTTGTATGTTTTTCTCCTAATTTTGTGGCTTCTTAAAAGTACTATTTTTTCACTATGGCCTCTTAACCCTTAGTGATGTATTTATATACCACTTAAGCCAACAATATCTTTCATTAGGTTAAGAAAAAATATAAACGTGATTTACTTCTTTTACAAGTTCATTCCAAAATTGAACTTTGTAAAACTTTTTCTATTAGAAAACTAAATCACATTCCATACAGGAATAGAAGCCACGTCCTTTATGGACCTTTTAATTCAATCCAAATTGAATATTACAAATCTCATTCTTAATAAGATGTACGTGATTGAAATAAGCCGACAAGTCCTTTTGGACTTTTACGTTAATCCAATTACAAAATTAAATTGATATTATATACAACTTTTATATAATTAATATCAATTAATATTATATATATCCCATATATATTACAACCAAGAGATATAATTTAATTTTCTATTCCAAATAGAAAACTTCAATTTGTTCACAATATTAACTATATCCTTTGTGCTAGCAATGAATATAATAATATTTCACTTAGACTAATAACTAAATTTATTTGACTAATTAAATTCCTTAATTTAATTATCAAATAATAAGTTAATTAATCCTTTAGCAAAGATCAGAACACTCGTTAGTGTGCGGCCTCATAGGTTCAATATTAAGCCGGTAGTAAATTGACCACATCAATAAACTAATCAAGGGTGGCGTCTAGCAACACTCCTTAACGACCGGATAATATGAAGTATACAATTTACTCTCAAGAACCAGTAGAAGAATAATGTAGTAATTTCTTCTGTCCTTATAGCTCTGGATCACCCTAGGATATGGTTCAACTGTCAAATCCTAATAGGCGACCAACTATGTGTTCATGTCAGATATAATCGACCATTGAATGACCTAAGAAACTCATTTCTTCTTTTATTCAATTGCCCTGGCCAAGGTCTTAGTTTGGTCATTTATAATTCATGACAACATGGAGCTTAAACTCATTACCAAGAGTTGACAGATTCCATCTTGATCAATCACTAATTCTACAAGCATTTAATCATACCCAATATCCTTTCAACTATCGCCCTAGGGCCATAGGTGTCTAGTATCAAAGCACAATAAATAACTTGTCAATTACTATGACGATCTCAGGTCAAAGGAAACTCTTACATCACATTCTTCAAGAGAATATCCTATTGACAGTTTATGGTAATTCTAACCATTAGGAATTATCCAATGAGTCGGTTCAATGATCATATCTCTATATGCATCATCTATCTATGTGATTTAGTTAATGAGATCAACTAATCTTTATCCAATAAAGACGATCACATAAATATTGATCTAACCGGATTACTAATGTCCAAATTAATAATCCTACGATCAAAAACAAATTTAGATTAAATCGTAAGAGACTTTGCTCTCATTATCATGATCTCTATCACGATGACAAATCTCAAAATTTAATCGAGGACCTTATCAAATTAATCAAATAATTAATAATAACTATGATATATAAAAGAATATCAAATGCCATATATTTTTATATCAAATAACATTCACAAAAATGTGTTCAAATCATCAAATATGAGATTAGATCTAGGGCATATCTACTATATCCCTAACATCTTCCTCGTCCTTTCCTTATTCATAGCCCACCCAAAGGAAGTTATAATGTTAAAATTGTAATCATAGCCTAAATAGCAAATAGTTTACATATCATGAACTTAGGCGTATAATTTGAATAGATATACTCACAGCACATGCTCCACTCATATAGGGTGTACTGGCATATTATAGAGCATTCTTTACCTCCAGAAGGTTAAAGTAGAAGCTCCTTTTTTTCTCAAAATAATGGTGGTATCGGGGTTACTTTTTACACTCTCAATTAATCCATCAAATATTTGATATTTCTTAACCAGCTCGGTTAATGTGGGTAACTCTGCCTATCAAAAGACAAATAGGAAGAAATCACTTAATAATATTTTGTCTCCGTTGAAATTTGATTCCGAAACTATTTTTTCCACTTTACTTACTATGGATCATATCCCTCAGATGCTAAATTAGAAATATCTTTTTGAGTCACGAAAACATGTAACTCCACTCCCTCCACGCTTATGTCTACAGATATAAACCAAGTAGCCGACAAAAATAACGAAGAGAAATGTTACGTTGCATGTGATTTAACAATGTAGGAGGCATATTCATAAAATGTTAAGTTAATGCAGTATGTTCCATGTTGCATCCAAGGGTATGACCTAGTGCTAAGTGAAGTAGGTGAAAATCATGAGGTCTTGAGTTCAAATCCCACCAAAGACAAAAACACTTTTTCTCATATGTCCAAGCCCCGGTGAATAGAGTTACCTAGTACTTGTTGTTGTACTTTGACTGGTATGCGAGTTTGAATCCCGTGGAATTAGTAGCTTTGACTTGTATGCAAGTTTGAATCTAATTCCTATCCTAAATTAAATAGATGTCTACTTCTTATTATAATAATTAAACGGTATCGATCTATTGCACGTATACATGTTTCTTTTGAAAAAAAGGTACAGTGATCAGAGTATCTATTGTAACATATTTGTTAAGCATTAGAAGTGGAGACCTTACGATGTCCATTGATATTCAAAATCTTCAAGAAAAGAAAGGAAAATGAGGTTGAATTGTTAGAAGAATGGCCCTCGACATGTCTGGGGTCACCAAGGAGAGAACAAACACAATGATGCCAAAGGAAAATGAGTTGCTGCTGCTTCTGAAATTTCAAGAAGGTCTACTCTGTCCACCGTTCTTTTAGGCATCCAATACTCCGGAATTCACTAGCCGACTAATCAAAATTTGCACCAGATACACCTACTAAGCGGATAAATGAGATAACTTTTGGAAAGAAAAAATATATGCTAACTGATCAAGAGTCAACAAGTCCAGATGTCACATGTTTCTAAGCTAGATGAAGTTGTCCAAAGTTTTTGCTCAATACACCTCTTGGACAGGCAGTAAGATGCACCAAGGAAACAGTCAAGTACATCTGATGTGTATCGAGAACTGATAATCAGTTCCAACTGTAATACAATCTCCTAGTAGACTAAATAGTAGAACGAGTATTTCCAAGAAGGATTAATGAACTTCCCTACTATCTTGGGGTTGTTGACTTCTCATCACCATCACTTAGATAAATAATGCTAACGGTCTGAGAAAATTAGTATTGATTGACTGCCCCATGAAAATCTGGATGTCAGCTTTGGTCTAGACATATTTGCCTCTATACTTTCCCTTTGATTCTTTACCAATCTTTGTATCACCTGACACTTTAAGGTGAATGTCGGCAGGACTAAAAACTGCTGAATGAAGATTACCTTCTTCTAACCACTTCAGATGGTTTTCCTTGAACTCCAAATGTTTGATCCTTGCTGCTAATTCAATTTCTTCAGTATATGGTTCAATTTTGACCATGGTTAGTAGTACCCTGCTGTACCTATAGCTCAGCATCTGCTCTGAGGTAGCAACCAATTTGAAACAGGGGTGCTCTGGAAAAGTAGTATCAGCTGACTCGTTGTCTCTTAATACTGGATAAAAGTACACAAGCCGGCCACCCATCACGAGCATCTTAGCAGCAAGGTCAAGCAAATCATGCACACATTCCACTAAGCTGTAAGGAGCAGTTGATGGTATGTGGCCTGTTCTTTTGTCATCAGGAACGGTATATGGATCAATTACTCCTTTCAAAAGCTTCCTGCCACCAGATTTACGTCCTCCAGCACGGACTCCATAGGGAGGATCACATATTATGGCATCGAAAACCTAGAAAATGAAATATAACAGTCAACAAAAACAAAATAAAGGGATGAGACCCCAAAAAAACTACTGAACATGACTATAAACTGTAAAATTCAAACTACTTTTGGAACTCTCAGAAAATTACTAAACCTCGACTTATTAAAGCTAAGACAAGAATAGACTGCACAGCTAAAGTGAATCAAACACTTTCTTCGACTAAAATATACCGATACAGCAACAATAACAACAGCAATAACTACACCTTAGTCTCTGATTTTTAGTAAGACCTTATATTAATTTATTTTCCTATTGTCAGAAGATCCATGGCAGGCCACAGGTAATCCAATCCTTGTCGAGATTCATTATGGTTTTTTCATCTATACATGAAGAAAATAACTTCTCCACTATCAGGTTCTTGTTGCATGAGGAAGAGCATCAACATAAATCATCTGATATGATTCATTAAACTTTGTGAACTTCTGATTTCCTGGCTCAAAAAAAGTTAACTCTGGTCAAGTCAATTGTGGCTGGATCTGGGATATGACTTCTTGCAAAGGCAATGGAATGACAGTTATATCTTTTATGTTGTTAGCTATAGAGTTGGGTCCTCTTTGATCATTCCCCATCTATTGACTACGACTTTGCATTTTGACCAATGCTCAAAAAAGTCATATGGTACTCTTGAGGTGTATAATTTCTAGGTGCTAATTTACTTTGAGAAAGCATATACGCATATATCAAGTCAATTTGCAAAACAAATTTGTGGCCTTTCCTCTTGCACTTAACAGCCTTAGCCACTGGAGCCCTTTGCCCATCCTTAAAAATTAAGAAAGGGACAAACCAAAACTCAGTGGTCAATGCTGGACTAAAATGAAAACAGAATCTAATTTACAGCAGGAAGAAACAGAAGTTGCAAGAAAGAAAACAAGCAGGCCAGACACCAAAAACCATATAAGTTCAAAGAAGGCTACCTCTTTCAATCCTGAACGCCAAGGAGGAAGATTGTTGTCTGCCCTTAATAAAGCAACAGGCGTTGGCAATCCATACTACAATAAAGATATAAGTTTAGCATAGAAGGATACCAAATCAAATTATAACTCCAAAACACTAGATGATAAGATCAAATGTAGCAATTATTATATAAGAAAAAAACTGGCATCTCATATAAATTAAAAGCACCACTCCACACAGACCTGCTTGAAGTTGCTCCAGACATTACAATCTGGACCACGCCCATCACGCACTACCCGAATGTCAATATCTGCACCCTGAAAAGCCAATTAGTGATAGTAAAATAACTGGAGAAAAACAATGTACGCTCAAAGTTCCTGCAAAAATAGAAACACTAAGTCACTAACCATTGTCATTGCCCCATAATGGGCTGCTGCAACTAGAATGCTTCCTGTGCCCACAAAAGGGTCATAGACAAGCCTCCCAGGTTTGGCCTGTGCTTGGTTCGCCATCAGGAATGCCATCTCGGCATCCATGGCAGTCGGACCAAGATAAGTACGACTTTTTAACTGATAAGTCGGCAAAAGCTTCCTATCAGCAGCACCAATCTCTCGACCAAAAAAGACTTTCCTTCCCACGATGGGTGGCAGTCCATTACTAGAACCATAATTGTCCGTTTCTATGAGCCAGAATGTATGATCAGGATTTTTTAAGTTCACCCGGCCCTGAAACCAAACAAACAGAAACAAGTAAATCCACATGCCATATCTTCTAAGCCTGAGCTATTCCATGAATTTTGTGTAATATATCTAAGAGCAAACTACATTTTAGTTCCTCATTTACATGCTATCTCCACCTTAATTCTCTCTATTGTTCAACTTAAGCATTAAACCTTCAATTGTTTGTCTTAAGATTCTTTTCTCTAATCTTAATAAGTCCATTAGTTTCTGACTTGTCATTTTCCTTTTTCCTTTTAAATTTGAGAATTCTTTTCCCTTTTGAATGCCTTATTTAGTAAAAGACCAAAGAAAAGAAAACATAAAAAGATAACAAATCCTATTCTCACCCTCATCCATTAACCAACCAGTACGCATTATCCCTCTCTCTGCTCTGCCCCTACCAACAACCATCCTTCTCCTTGTGTCGTTTGTCTCCCTACCACCCCTTCTCTCTCTCCCTCCACGCTCTCTTTCCCTATACCCGCCCCTCCATCAACCCCCATTTCCCTGTTCTTTGTCTCACCACTGGCAAAAACCCAATCCGCAGTCTCTCTCCATCCCTTTCCCCCAATCTGAATGACCACCATCCTTCACTCCTTGTCCCCCCCACCCCCCCCAACAAAAATGAACATAAACAAAAGTGAACAACGAAATAATAGAAAACCAATTCGAGCCCACTGAANCCCCACCCCAAACCAAACCAACTCTTCTTCTTTAGTCCAATCAATTGCCCCCACCCCTCCGTTTCAGGATTGTTTCCCTTTTTTGTCTTCTTTGTAATTTGGGATTTGGCTTCAATAAATAAGCAATACAATGATAATAAGAAAAAAAAAAAAAAGGAAATGCTAACAAAATGTTGAAGCTTTAATGTGCAAGGTGGAAATGATAGGGACCAAGAGCACAAAAGGCATATACGAGGGACAAAATTCTTTTCTATACCAAACAGGAATTTTTTTTAATAACCAAAGAATAGCCGAGGGCCAGTGGTGCACGGTTCGTGTATAATGGGCCCACCCCTCCACCATTCTCCATTTAAATACCAGGCTTTATTTGTTGTAGGGTTAGAACCAGTGATGTGTGCCTAGCCCACACATCATTTGTTGCGCTCTTACCACCATATCAAAGCCCTGGGAGCACCAAACAGGGATAATCAAGTTCAGACTATGTCCTCATAATTGAAAGGACAAACAACAACATCAAATCATACCACCACATTTAGAAGCAACAATCATATCCCGCACAATATAATTTTATGAAATGGTGAACAAAAGGAAGGTAATGTAGATGATGGTAAGTGCAGCAAATAATAGGATCAAATCTAAATAAAGTTTCACTTGGTGGAACAAAATAGAAGGGGATAATCTTGATGAAGGGGCAAAATTTGAAAATTTTACCCAGCACTGATACTGTAGATATAAGGAAACAAGAAGAAAAGCATAAATGCTCTGCCTATGAAAAGAAAGGAGGAGAAAGTGCTAATATCAGTTTTTTAATGCTCCTTTACTTTCTAGTTTCTACTGTTGGAGCAACCAAATTTTCCAGATTGAGTCGTGAAATGTACTCCAGAATAATAAGTATATACCTTCTTTATCCAAAAAAAAAAAAAATAAAGGATGCACCTTGAAAGGGATGTAGGAGAATGATCGAATACGCTCATTTTGCTCCTCAAAGCTGATAGCCTTCCCAAAGGTGTCAACAGCAATCTTGAATGTGCTATCAGATGTCAGGTATGGCTGCTTCCGCTCATCAGGATACTTTATAATAGACTCTTCTAGTTCTTCAAGGCTACTTCCTTCTCCCCAGAGTTCAAAGATTCCTTTTACAAGAATACCTGCATGACAGACTCATCAATATGTTGTTAACCTAAGCTACTTCTCCAACCGTTGCACATAGATAAACGCCAAGCGTTTCATAAGGCAAAGCCTCCTACATCACATAGTCAATTCCTTTTTACTTGGAAAATGTCTAATACTCTTCCTACCTTTGTAAAGATAAATAGATGCCAAGAGTTTCTAAATCTCCATGCTTCAAATGCCATATTGTAAGCCCCTAATAAGCTTTAACTAAGAAACTATGCCCCATACGAACAACTAAGCTTTAATCCTAATGAGTTGGTATCAATTATATGGATCCCTTGTGTCTATGGTGTTCTGCTCTTAACTAAGTCCGTATCAACTCTAAGTGGAGAATCCATCCTCAAAATTAAGAGGCATTCATTTAACAGATACCTCTTTTAAACCTAAACTTAGAGAGAAGTTCAGAACAATAAATTTAATAAAATGGAAGAGAGCAATTAACCCAAAAAATTCAATCCCGGAAGGGTACCAAGAAGTAATTCACGAATGATTCGCCTATTTTCTAATGAGTAGCTGCTTATTCGTATTGATAATTAACTTAGGCGGATTATACGCCAATGTGAAAAGGAAAATGACAACAATAACCGGGTTTCGTTAGATGTGATAAAGTACGATGTGTAGATGCCAACCATTACGCAGCAAATGATAGGTATGAAATGAAAAGGCAAACCCGAAATCTTTTTAAGTAGGCTCTATAGTCTAGTCCTTGTCCCTGGTAAACCAGGGTGCACAATCCAATCCAATAAAAAGACTGAAGTCAGGAATGTGACTACCAAAGGAATAACTATTATTCTAAATACAGTAAGGCGGAGAATTAATGTTGTTAGTTTTAGTAATGAACAACACAAATAGGATTGATTGTGCATCGCAATTTCATCTTTTTTTAGCATGAAACGTCATTGCCTCCCATCTCGAACTACATATACAGAGTTCAACAAAAAATTAAAATAAATAGTTGTGCGTAATCCTCGGGCTTACTTCGATTTGCAACATTACGGGCGATTTCTTCAGAAGGAAGACTAACTAAGTGAAAAGGCGAGTCAGGGTGGTGATGTTCTGGAAGCTTCCATTCAAGTGAATTACTGCAATTGCTTTTTAAGTCACCATTGTTTGTTGGCTCTCCTTTGCTGAAAGCACCAAAAAGCTCAGCCAAAGACTCAACTTCAGGTTTCCTGTAGTCAAGTAATCTATGATAGAAGACGCATAGGTACCACATGTTCTGCAATATTTCAGTTTGAGCTTCAAAACTAAATAAATGAGTTATGTGGGTGTAGAATCGGAAAATATGAACGATGTTTAGGGGTTTTCTATTAGAGTTGGGTCGGAGAGATCAGTAGCGGCGGCGAGCCCGGTGGCTGGCGGTGACGCACTGGTGGCGGAATGACTAAACTTGGGTAAACGGTAGTCTCCTAAACCCAAAGTGCAAAACCCTGGACTCAAAACCCAAAAATGTAATAACTCTCTTTTTTATTAAAGAAATATGTACTTAATTAAGGTTATATCAAATCAAGCAATTTAATCGTATAACTTTTGAAAGACACTTGTTTTTTATTCACTATGATATAAACATCAAATACATGTCAATTTTTATTTTTATAAGATTATTTACATATTCAAAAAAAGTAAGTAAATTCACATTAGTTTTAGATTTGACTTAGATATACCACATTTTAACCTTTTTGGTTAACTAAATAAGTAATTAATAGCATATATATATATATGCAAAATTACGAATTAGAGGGAGCATTGCTTGCCCATATCTTCAAACTTGATACATGACTAAGAAGTTAAAATCAAAAATACTGTGAATGGATGAAGTTGACTCATTTTGTAAAGAGACTTTTCCCAATAGATTAAAAAAAAAGGTAGTTATCACCCTGTTTAAATTGAGTTTTGAGTTTTTTGGAGATAGTTTTTTTTTTTACAAAACATATACAATAACGTTTAAATAGGATTCTAGCGTATACATTAAATATCATAAATACTACCACAAATCACGCACATAAATGAGAGATTTTAGGTTGATGAGCGCAAAAAACAATACAAAAATTAATGTTCGCTAGCCAAAAATAGTATAGTAGAATATTGTCTCCGCGGGAATTGAATTTAAACAATGTTCAAGTAATTTATGGGTTAAATGATATTCAAGATATTTAAAACTTTGATTTGGGATAATTACTACTACAACTAACAAACTAAAACTAAAGCAAGTAAAAATTAATCAAAGAGAACTAGAGAGCATAACAATTGATTATTATTATTAATACGAAGAATAAGGGCTTTGGCATGATAGGTGCAAGACTACTATCCTAAATTTGACATTGTGATATGTTACTCTTAAAGTTCAATCGATTCTCACGAATTCTACAGGTGATTAGCTTATACTTCCAATTCAGATTTCTCTCTCGATTAAATCTAAATCTTTCAAATAAACTAATGTGAAGCACGGCAAAACTTGCAAGAACTATTGGTAGCAATGAACTAAGAGAAACTTCTCGCGAACATTTCTCAATCTTAATTTAAACGGTAACTCAAAAATCTCTCTCGATTACTTCAAAAAATCACCAAAATAAACTAAGGCATACGCTCCAATAATATTCAACAAGATGTTGTTCTTTCGATTAAACACTATAAAGAATAAAATCACAATTAATATTAAAGCTCCTCCAATGAATTCAAGCAATTGAAAGTAGTCAAATCCATAAACAACAACCAAGTCACCAAATCATGTCAAACCCTAAGGTAAACAACTCTATAGATGTGGAAAGTCATTACAAATATAGTTAAAGAATAAGAAAATATTAATCCAATTTTACAATCCAAACTCGCGTATTGAATTGGCAGAAGGAAGATGAAATCTTGTGTCTTGAAGCCTCCATGCTCTCCAAAAGCTCCCAAGGTCAAAAGTGCTCTCAAAAACTTGTTTCTAATGTATTTATACCAAGTCGTAATGTGCCTGAACCAAACTACCCTCTTTGAGCCGAAGTGGGGAAACTTGGAAAACTTTTTACACTTCATGCGTCACACAGTGCTACGTCCCCTGCATTGCATTAGTATAGTGTGCTCGGTTGTAAACTATCTGAAATTAACTTGTTTGACAAACTTTTGTACTAATGTGCCGCACCCTGCGTCACATTAGTGTATTTTCTTGTCAGATCCAAAAACTCAAAGTCTATGAATTTCTCAAACTTCTGACGAATTTTTGTTCTAACGTCACTCAATGCCACGCCTTATGCAACACATTAGTACATTTTGCTCTAGCCTTGCGTTTTCTTTCAACTTTCGTATGCATTGCTAGTTCGCAAGTCCCAGATACGATCCCAGATGATCAATTGAAGCTTTTACTCACATTTCGAAGCTCCATATTTCATTATGGCTCTGATTTAAGCCCTAAACACACAAATCACGTCATAAGTACAAATTTCTCATAATTAAGCTCAAACATGATTGAAATGCAATCAACAGTTGGTGAAATTGAGACGAAATTTCATGATTCTAGCCTACCATCATAGGTTGCTAACGTATCTCCCGATTCACTTCCATTTATACACGTTTTTACTTAAAAGGCAAATCTACATATAAGATTATGTGTTCAAAGACCCATTAACTTGACGCGAAATGTATAGTAATATAAAAATAATAAGCAAATAAAAGAATAAATTAGTCAATACCGAATAAACAAAAAGATCCATGGGTGCTTTGGTTCAAAGGCGGAGTCTAAGATTTGTTATCTATATCTATCTATCTATACCATATTAAAAGCACGAAGGCCCTTAGCGAAATATCGTTCGCCTTTTTTACCCTTAAAAAATAGATTTCACATTGGACAAAATTATAATTGTATTTTCATTATTTTCCTAATATGTAGGACTTTAAAATCAACTAAATTTCATTTATTAAATCCTTCCTTATTTGAAATACGTAAAAACTCCTAATGTTTAGGAGTTTAAAATTAAGTAAGATTTTACTTCTATAAATTTTTTCTATGTTTAAATTGTATTACTATCACGATTAAGTTTTTAAAATGTTAGGAATAGTAATGAAAACTTTTCTTCAAAAAATTTATCTTAGAATTAAACACTTAATCATGAAGTATATTTTTAAGAATATCTTGTATTACTTTTTTTAATATTTAGATAGATATTAGTTTTTAATTAACTTGGGATACGAAATAAGAGATGTTGTCTGTGAAGTATAAAATTAATTCTGAAAAAATTACTCCAGTAAATATGAAACCAATTGTGACAACTTTTATTAATAATAGGGTATTTCTATATGTTATAGCCTGTCATAAACTTTATTTTAGATATATTAAATTATATTTTATAACTTTTTGTAGCGCAGACAATTATTTTAGACATATAGAATTTTATATGGTCTAATTGTCACTTTTTATAGGTATTATGTACTACTTCTCACATTTTGCGAGCAAATAATTAAATAATTTGAAAAGGCTTGGATATATGTGGATGAGTATGTCTGAAGAATATTTTCACTCTAAGCCACTAAAGTTTATTAAAATCTAAAATTTTAAGGAGCCTAGTAGGTGAAGAAAAGAAAAGGAAATAATATTCATTAAAAATGCCTTAAACCATTAAAAGCATAAAAATAAAATAAATATAGTAGAGAAGGAAAATCAAACTTGAAGAGGGAGATAAAAGTACTAATTAATAAAAGAGAAGAAATTTTTATTATAATTTATTCACTCATTTGAACAACCTTAACTAAATTCAAAAAAGCATATAGTTTAGAACACTTGACTAAGGATAATCATACATACTATAGTATTTTATTTTTTTTTGGTAAATATAACTTTTATTACCAAGTAGAATATGTACAGTTCTTCTAACTATTACAAAAATTAATTTTCTTAGTGGTTATCAAAGAATTAATGTTTTCACTGAGAAAATGGATAGATTGTGCCTTAAATATGCTATCATGCCACATTGGACATCTGCAATCTGGGAGAAATACATGCGATTTATGAATGTCAGAGAGTATAGGCACTAATTCATGTTTTGGTTAGAGCAGTTTTATAGTTATTGTTTTTTGTTTCTAATTTCATATTGTAGAGAACTATGTTTTTGTGTAGGTTCACCACATTGTTACATTTTTCATACCACTTGTATACTGGGTTTTTCCCACCATATCAATGGATATGGTTAAGGCTGCGGACACACTACCCTCCCCACCTTCTCCAGACCCCACTTGTACAATTACTTTGATTTTTTTGTTGTTGTATCAATGGATCACTTTATCATTCTTTTTAGAGAAAAGGCATAAATTGTCCATTAAACTTGTCTAGAAAAGTTATTTATACACCTAAACTTTACGGGTGAGCTAAAACTCCACTATTATAGTTTGAAGTGAATTTATTTCCTTCCTGAAAGCTGACTTGGCAAAGAATGTGTTATCAGATTCTTACATGCGCATGGAAAGAAAGAAAAAAGTTAAAAACTGGCTTAACTACGCTTGTCATCATCTTTGTGTTTGGATGTTGTCAACTAATTAGACTTAATTATTTATTCTTAATATCTTTATTATTTTTTATTCTTTACTCTTTTTTTTCTTTTTCTTTCTCTTCTCCTTAACCGTCTTCTATGTTAGTTGTCTTTAATGGCAAACCAAATCATTTCTGTCCGATCAAGATTTGGCCAATGTTTGGCCGAAAAATTGTCGTCGCCACCAAAAACCCCATTGTCCCTCACCAAAAAACCCACCTAGAACGACATTCTTTGTAATCCGTGAACCAACAACCATGTTATCAAAAATTAATTAAATTCCAACAAAAACTCTGTTTTGGTTCAATTTATCGAACAACGTGATATCATCATTGGGCTTATAGCAGGGTTGTCTTTATGCCTGCTGAAATAAACTTAATGAAGCATCACTATTTTCCATAACTTTCAAGGCTTGCATAATATAATTCATATTTTAGTAAAAATTGGAGCTTGTCCAATTGGGTTTTCTTCTGAAAACTATAGTACCTACAAAAGAAAGTACCTTTTGCATTGAAATTAATCAACCCAAAACTGTTCTGATTCGCACCATAAAATCAATGAAAATTCGAGAAATATGGACTAAGTTCTTGGACCACCCATCTCCCAAAAAAAACCATACGACTGATAAAGTTAATAGCTTGAAAATTTTCTCTCAAACTTAACCGTAATTTAATTTAAACTTGCTAGAATTTTTTTCTTGAATACTCTGATTTTTGTTTTCTCTCTGTCTAGTAGTTGTTGTTTTTTCTCTTTTCATTTTTGTGAATTGTTCCTACTCTCGCTTGTCATCTGATCACGCCCAACTATGCCTTATAAAAGGACAATGCGGTCGTTGCAAATATAATCCGGTTTACAAGTCCGGAGTCGAATCTCACAGAGAACTAAGGCTTAGCTACAGTTGTTCACTATCACCAAGAAGACAAGCTTGAACAGTTCCTAACTTATAGATATTTAGATTCT